GAATATGGAAATCTCAATTTCAAAATTTTATATGCGCCAACATATCTAAAAAATAATAAAATCTGTAAACATATTTATTTTGTAAACATAGTTATAGAATATTACAAAGTAAATAGAAACTTAAAATATTAAACGATAATCTCTTCGAAGAAAAAAATATATATAATGTAAAACAAAAAGAATATTAAATTGAAGAAAAATCACACATATATTTAGGAGGATTTTAATGCGGCTTGAGAGAAGCTCTAGGAGGCGGCATAAATTAGGGCTTTACTTGCATATAAATAGTCTTCATCACATCAAAAGCTTATTAGAAGAAAAAAACAAATCTTTGTTCATCTCTATCTTGCCTCTCTAAATATTGGTTTTGTGGTTGCATCAAAATTTTCTTTAGGATTTTCAATTTCGTTAATCTTCAAAAATTATCAGAAGCTGCTGTGATGAATAAAACCGTGTGCCAGAGATGAATTTCATCGTTGACGGTATAACACAACCCTCTAAGAAGTTCTGAGCTTTCTTCTACAAATCTTTTTGATTTTTGAAATCTGAAATTTTTAGGGTTTTTTTCTGTTTGATTGAAAGTTTCTTATTTTCTTTTTTACTTATAAATCTGTTTGAGGATCTGGGCATATGATGAATCTCATAACACAAATGGGTAATTTGCGACTGAAATTACATTGATGTTTATTCACCTTGGAGAACTGATGTCCAAATTCTATTTTATTTTATTTTTCAAAATAAAGATTTTGGTTCAAATACTTGTGTGATATACATTGAGGGTTAATTTGTTGTATAACCAACGAAGAATTCTAATTAGCTATCTAACCAATTTATCTTTGATCTTGCACAGCTATTATTGCTACACGTAAGCTACTTTTGGTTACTAATTATAATTTTTTTTTTGGTTATCAAATTGACGCATACGACGAATATTATTCCTTTTCAATTTCTATGATTTGATTAACATATTGAATTATATAGTGTAACAGTATTTAACTAAATAATATTTTATAAAGCTTTACCATCTGGAATACACTCTCGTATGATTCCCATGCAGACGAATTGATTTAATGTCAACGTAGTTTTCCTTCAAATAAAGAAACGGCATGTAGTTGGCGTTAACAGAAAACCTATACTATTAGGATTTTTTATTGATGATATTTTTTAGCTTTAGTTTTGTCTTACCCATGATAATTTGATAAAAGTCGATTCCGTGAAAGAAATCTATTGAAAATTATGAAATCTACCCATACTGTTTGTTTGGTCGCATTAAAGTCGATGGTAGAATTTCTCCAATTTGGCATTTCTCTCAAAACGATTAATGAACGAGTGATTATACCAGAGCTGGTTTGGAACGCAAGTTTATAAACATCGAACGTAGTCTTATAAATTTGTTTCCGTTCCAGAGCCCACTTCGGTATAATTGATCATTTTTAGTCGATTTGAGGAAAATCCCAAGGAAACCTTGAGTTTAGAATATGAAACTACAATTTCTACAATCATTTCAGTTCTCCTACATGTTCAAGTTTAATTATCTCACAACATTGGTCGACCAAATTCAGCTCCCATGTATTCATTTATTGCTAACAATAATAGTATTAACATCACTACCAAAAACATCAGTAATAACAAGTGACAAAAAAAAAAAAACAATAACATGCAACATAATACTAAAGGTGTAGTGGAATAATGGTAACACAAGGGTTGGTTTCTTTGTATCTCGGGTTTAAATTTTTTTTGGTATAAAAAGTTATTCTTTAAATCGAGAATATCTAAAGGTTGAGTCCGGGTACCGAAATGATTATGAGCCAAAAGTTCATAACTCCCACAATTTATCCCAAAAAAACATGCAACATAATAACCACCTTGTTACAATGATGTTTATTCAACACTAGGTAAAGGACCCGCATATCTGCGGGTTTATGATAAAATATTTTATAATCTGTAAAAAATTAAATTTGGAAAAGTAAAAGGCAAAACTAAATCACCCATGAAATTAAACAAAATAAGATCAAAACGTTGATACTAAATAAATTTAACAGTTACTT